TAGAACTGTACTACCTTTAACCAGTACTCTGTGATGCCTCCATGTAGGAGATGCTTAATTAATTAAGAATTGTAGATGGATACACATGTGAATGTAATTGCAGAGTTTTGAGAAGTGTGACATGACCTGTGACACATTAGATCTGTGCAGTAGTGAGCTATGTGGTAATGGGGCTCTTCTGTCATTCTGCGGTTCCCCTCGCTGTGTGACTGCACAGGAGAGGCAGCATAGGCCATGTTTGTAGCACGCATCAGAGAGAAGAGCAACTTCTGTTGTTGGGGCTGTGAGGCCAGGTCGCCGGCCGGCCTGTCTAACTGTCCCAGTGCGGGCCCCTGTGCTACCTCACTCATGATCAACTCCCCTTAGGTGCCTGGGGGCAATTTGTCTTAGCAGGAGAGAGTGAGAGAAAAACAGTCTTGAAGGGAGAGAAACAGTTTTAGGAGGAGAGCAAATCTTAGCAGTCTTCATAGAAGAGTGCCAAGCAGGTGCCCTCCAAGCAGGAGAAGCAAAAAAGTTAGAGTGAGCGAGTCCGTGAGAGAACGAATCTGGACTAACCTCTCCTGCAGCTACTTATGGAAGTGATCCTGTGGCTCTTTACACCACAGGGTGTGGAGATTGCCAAGCACTGAAGCTGGTGCTCTCTGGTAGGAGAGCCGAGTCCCTGTCCCATGCCCCTATCACCAAGGTGTTAGCGAGACGTTATATCACAGGTGTCTCTTATAATCACAGAGCATTCAAAGCTTAACTCTCGGGTCTCCTTCCCCTGAATCATCTGGTCTCCTACGTCTGTCCCTCCCACTGGGGAGCGTCACTTCTGACGCTAACCCTTTCTTAGTGTCATTTTTCTCAACTACAAAGTAGGGGTAATAATGGCGCCCACCTCATATAGTAAACTTAGAATAAATGAAATAATGGAAGTAACCATTCCTAGAACACAGCACTTATCTAAAAAACATGAGCAAATCTTGTTTCTATTGTCAAAAATGCTGTTTTTAAAACTTCATGAGTAAGGGGCAGCACCCATGGCTTAAAGGAGTAGGGCGCTGGCCCCATATACCGGAGGTGGTGGGTTCAAACCCAGCCCCAGCCAAAAACTGCAAAAGGAAAAAGAAACTTTATGAGTGAGAGCACTCCTTCCTATCAGTGGACAAGGGCTATTGAGCCAGTGTGAGGGATACTAAATAATGTGGCTATCACTTGAAACCTAAAGTCATCAAACTCAGGACAAGAGATCTGTAAAACATTCCAAAACTAATGCAGCCCTCATTCCAGTAGCCACATCCTAGGCCTGTGGTGTGCACTGTGTGGTTCAGATAGATGGGCAGAGGCAGGAGAAGGGGTGTCCATGGTCAGTACTTGCCACCTGATGAATGAGTGGTAGCTGCTGGGTGAGCAGTTGGTTCACACATTAAAAGAACAGGTATATAACATAGGCTGTTAGGTGATCACAAGAATTCTGAATACCTAACAACTAACAAGAGCTGTGGTATATTGTTCAGTTGGCATTGAACTTGGCATGCAGTAGAGACTCATTCTTTCATTCAACACTGTTTCTGAGCCAGCACTCTTGTAGGCTCAGGGCATCATTAATGACTAAAACATTAAGTCCTGAATACTCAGGTCCTTTTATATTTTGTATGCATCATCTCCACTAATAAGAGTCATCATAACAATATTGCATGTAGATAATACCATGTCCACTTGATAGATGAGGGAGCTGAGCTTCAGAAAAGTTAACTACCTTGCCTCAGGCCTCATTATTGGAAAGTGGTGAAAGTAAAATTTGAATATGGGTCTTTGTGATGCTCAAGTCTGTTCCTTAACCTCAGTATGACACAGCTTATCAAAGAAATAGCGAATGTGGAGATCATATGTGTGTGCCCGTGTGTATTGAAGGGAATGTGTTCATTCAGAAATCTACCTAAATAGCTGTCATTGTGACTCAGCAATAGAACAATGTGATCATCGTCAGTTTGCAAAACACAAGACATTTGGGTTGTGGCTTCTGTTCTTGAGCTCAATCTATCATTTTATTGCTTCTTATTAAAATCATTGTGTACTTGGCTGTCCTCAACAAAGAGAAGAACTTTTTTTTTTTTTGCTTGTAAGAAAGGTCTTTATTGGTGGGGGGAGGGAGGCTGCAGAGCCGCACCGAGGAGGAGAGAAGAGAGGGGAGAGGGATAAGGAGAGAGCGGGGAAGAGGAGAGAGAGAGTAGAGAAGAGCGAGGGGGAAGACAGGAGAGAGAGAGAAGGAAGGCAGAAGGAGGCGAGAGCAAAGAGAAGAACTTTTATGCTTAGGTTGCTGGCGAGGTGGAAGCCCTGGGATCCAGCAGCTTATCCCTGGGTGTGCTCGTTTAATAGCTCCTGGACAGGGAGCATGAACTGTGCCAGCCTGAATAACCACACTGGTGAGATGCTGTACGAACTCACAGGGCTGTGCTCAGACGTCAGTAACTTGGTACAGAAAGAGTGAAATGCTGTGATCCCTTCAGGGCTGTGGAGGTGGGTGCCCAGCCCTTGGGGGCTGCTGATAACTCCTTTGTTTAGGACTCATGTACACTTCTTTTCCATGGATTGGGAAGGAAGTTTCAGAGGCAGCATTTCAAATGCCAGGGAAAGGGAGAAGGGACAGGGTATTTGCCCTGAAATGAGGCATAAAGAGCCCAAAAGTAATGCTTGTTCTGGATCGGGGCCTTGGTGGCCTTATTTTTTTACTAGGAGATGCCGTGCTTTCTAAGAAGCACAGTCACTTTTTGGGGGGGTGGGGGGAGACAGAGTCTTACTTTGTCACTCTCGGTAGAGTGCCATGGTGTCCCAGCTCACAACAATGTCAAACTCTTGGGCTCAAGCAATTATTTCACCTCAGCCTCCTGGGTAGCTGGGACTATAGGCACCCACTACAACTCTGGGCTATTTTTTGGAGACAAGATCTCACTCTTACTGACTGACTTTGCTAGGATTGCAAGTGGGATCCACCACGCCTGGCCCACAGCCACTTAGCTTTACAACTCTGCTCCTTCAGTCTTTCAGTTCAGAAGCTGTTCCATTGTCCTCTGATCCTGTCGACATAATTCCACAATGCGAGGGCTGTGCAGTCAAGTGGGAAGGAGTTGTAGAGGAATATCAGGAGACCTAGATTCCAGCCCTGGCTCTGCCCCAGCCGGGGGAGGGGGACCTGAGTGAGTGTCTTCGCTGCTCTGGGCTTCGCTCTTCTCTCCCGTGTAGCCCCAGGACTAGAACTGGATGCCGGTGTCTCCTGCATGCCTCTGGCTCTGACATGGTGAGATGGCCTCTGGTACCTGCAGCCTTACCGTGTCTTCTTAGTTTCCACGCTCTATATTTAAAACCACACTTTCTGCCTCATTAGGGCATCATTCCTTCTGTTGCTTTAGAGCCCACAGTGCTGTTGAGTGTCTGATAGGTATTTGTCACATTAGTGAACTAGGAGGAAATAATGACTGAACGCCACGACTGTTAACATGCTGGTGTCTCTTCCAGACTGGGGTTCTCTGTATTTCAGCGTGAATTGCTGGGAGCGCCAAGATAACTAGCATGGCGCTGGAATGGTGTGCACACGTAGAAAACAGTTTCTAACTCCTGTTGCTACTGCTGCTGCTGTTGTAATTCTATGCCTTATTTTCTATAAACACAAAATAGTGTACATATGGTTTTGTAAGCACCTTTTCTCAATAATGAAGATTTTTTTCCATGCCACTAAATCTTCTCGGATTTTAATGGCTGCGTCCTTTTCTACTGTAGAGTTCACAGTAGTTTGTTTAACCAGTTCCTCACTCTTACACATTAAGTGTGTTCACGTTTCTGCATAGTATAAGTAACATATCTAAATATTCTAATTTATTTTTGAAAGACAATGTATTGCTTTTGTAATGGAAAAATGTTTTCATCAAGAAATACTGGTCCTGCGGCACCATCTGTGGACCCTGCCTGCTTAAGCCAAAAGTGTAGAGAAGTCTGTGGGGGACGGTGGATAGAGAGGCTGGGGACACAGCAGCTTGGCTCACCACAGGCAGAAAGACAGTGATCAACAACACGTTGTTGTTAAGAGAAAAGCAGTTTTCCTAAATCCAAAGCGTGTCCCTGTTCCCTCTGGAATAGGACTAGGAGAAGATGTGAAGTCAGGGCGAATGGGGAGAGGACCCAGCCAGAGACTAGCGCCCTGGGCTTGAGAAGATGTGAAGTCAGGGCGAATGGGGAGAGGACCCAGCCAGAGACTAGCGCCCTGGGCTTGAAGCTTCCCTCTGCTGTCTGGCCCTAGGCAAAGAGTGGGAATATTAGTAGTAATATTATTTTAATATGAGTGAGAATATTAGTAGTAATATTAATATCACAGATTTGGAATATGGAAGCAGGGGAGGTTGTGAGCATATTAAGAAATATAGATACAGCTCGGCACCTGTGGCTCAAGCAGCTAAGGTGCCAGCCACATACACCTAAGGTGGCGGGTTCGAATCCAGCCCGGGCCCACCAAACAACAATGATGGCTGCAACCAAAAAATAGCCGGGTGTTGTGGCAGACGTCTGTGGTCCCAGCTACTTGGAAGGCTTAGGCAGGACACACTTGCTTGAGCCCAGGAGTTGTAGGTTGCTGTGAAATGTGTGAGAGCCATGGCCCTCTACCTAGGAGGACAGCTTGAGGCTCTGTCTCAAAAAAAAAAAAAAAAAGAAAGATAGAAAGAAATATAGATACAAGATTGAAAGCTTGAAAGTCAGTGTTGTAGAAAAGTAAGGTGTCGAGAACATGGGGTCACCGGTTCTTTGTTACTACTCATCTCTGGAATGTATCTACAGTCAACAGTGAGTTTTGAGAAAATCCTTTCTGTACCTACCCCCATTGTTAAGTGGGAGCAAAAGCAGAAATTCAATTCTTTACTATTTGCATGCTTTTTTTATTTTTAATCCTTGCCAGATGTAGACTGGCAGTGAGCCCAGAGAGTGAGCACTTTTGGATAGAGGTAGTTTTGTTCTTGTCTCCCTTCTAGACAAAGAATTTTTGAAGGAAAAGGAGAAGTTAGAAATGGAGTTAGCAGCAGTGCGGACCGCAAGTGAGGATCATCGGAGACACATCGAGATCCTGGACCAGGCTCTGAGCAACGCCCAGGCCAGGGTCATCAAGCTGGAAGAGGAGGTGAGGCCTGACAGCGGGGACTAGGGAAGGGGGTTGGGGGGGCGAGGTGCAGAGCCCAGACAGCCTCTGTGCACTTTTCCTACCCCAGCTGCTTTATTCAGAGCCAATTCTAGGGAGTTGAAACGGGGAGGGATGTGGGAAATCTCCCAAATAAAAACGAATAAAAACAGAGTTTATCAGTCCCAGAGCCAGGCGAAGCATGAGTGGCACACGTGAACACCATCAGCAAAGAGGTTCGGCCTCTCTCTGAAGCCCAGCCTGCAGCCCACTGGTTGGCAGACGGTCAGGGCTGGAAATGCATGGAAGGACTGGAGACCACTGGTGCCTGCAGAGAAAAGGGACTGACGATCTTTAAAAAATAGTTCAAGTGCTGTGGCTTTGGATTCTCAAATGCATAGAAAAAGGCAAAAAGTCTTCTGATGGGGGGTGGGGGGAGGTGATGTTCAGCTGATCTGTCTCTAATTTCCAGAAGTCGGCATAGCTGTGCAGCGACCCTCTCAATCCAGGAAGTTTAGATTCCACTCAAGCATTATGGGCTTAGTAGTTTCTGATGAGATCAACCCTTTAGCTTGAGATTTGTGACGTAGACTTTCCCAGTAGGCCTGACTGAGTAGTTAGAATGACCATTTCTGAGGACCAGGCCAGGGTGTTGGGACCGTAGGTGTGGGGGAGACGAGGAGAGGCAGACAGCTGTCCTCTGCCCGGCACCTCCCAGCTTCCTTGGTGGCAGCAGGTGCCCGTAAGTTGTGGGAACTGAAAGAAGCTTCACCGAGATGGTCCAGCTGAAGGGCTTCATTTGGTGATCAGCACACAGAAGGCAGTGCTGTTGTTGAGCTGACTGTTGTCCCTTCAGAAAACATGTCCTGATGCCATGTAACTCAGACGTCTTAGCAGACATCAGCTGTAAGGATAGAGCCACTGAAGAGGAAGATTGTTCAGTAGACAAAGATCTTAGCTGTTAGGCTTTTGAGCCCCACCAGTCCTGTGTAGGGACTGCAGTATTGATGTCAGCTTGAGGATGGTGCACCAGCCCACAGCACCTTCCTTGTCACCTGCAGGAACTCATTAATGTGACAGTGTTCACCCCAGAAGTGACCTCAGTCCCTAAAGCCAGGAGGTCTGTCCTGAGGATGGGAGGCTAGGATCCTCTGCTGTCATCACAGAGACCACTCTCCAGCTTCCATCGCCAGGTGTGAGGCTAAGGGAAATAGGATTTTAAAAAATCTTTTAGTTTTAATATTTCCATTAAAGTAAGAGTTGTGTGAGACCCTTGAAGATAGGTTCTTTATAATCACTATTATGGGGTCTTTTCTTGCCATTACATTTATATGAAATCTATGGTTGATTGAATGTAGCTTTTCCAAAATGTCTCGAGGGTCTGGCTTCCAGTATCAGCCCTTGTTCTTATTAAAGTTTCTTTTGAATGATTTTGATTCAGTTCAGATACTCAGTGCCGGCCATAATTCACCATGGTGGTTAGGTGGTTAGGCATAAAGCCCAACTGCTGTAAATGAGGAGAATCCTGGCTGCCTGACCTGTCATCTGTGTGACCTTGAGCAAGTCACCTAACCTTGAAATTTTTTTTTCATTTCTTAAATGGAGATACTACAGGGCTTCACCTCTAACGATTATGGGGAGGATTAAATGAGATACTATGCACAAAGCACAGTGCTTGTCATGGTAGTGTCTGAAAGTGTTGGCTGATGTGAGGTCTAAGTACCTTATCAGGCACCCTCATTGAGTGGTCTACCTTGCTAAGGTTGATGCAAAGATAAAGGAGACAGATTCAGGCCTTTAAGGATCTTGCAGTTACTTAGGGATACTGTTCATTCATTCATTTTAAGAAGTCTTGAATGGCTGCCAGATGCTGGGCACTGTTCCAGGCACTAGGGACACACTGTTCCCTCTGCCCAGCAGGGGGCAAAACAGACATTTTCTGGCACTTAGGTTCTGGTAGCTACACACTCAGAAAGCCAGATGCAGTGGAGGACGAAGTAAGTGGTATATGAATAGTGTGTGACACAATATTGGTCAGATGACATTTCTAAGAAGCATAGAAACCTGCACTTAGTAGGTCCTCAAGTCTGTTAAATTGAATTGAGCACTCAAAGGGGCAGATGAAATTCAATTCTGAGGTAGTTATAGAAAAGTCTGAAAAATTCCTGCCTCCTCCTTGAGAGGTCAGAAGCGTCTCTGTTTTATCCAGTGGCTTCCCGTAGGACAGAAAATAGGCACAACCTGCAGCAGCAGCAGCGCCACCTGTAAGGCAGAAGCTGCTCTCAGCAGCAAGCTCTTGAATCACTGGCATGTTCCAACTTGAACTCGAGATGGGGTCACCTGGAAGACGTCTGCACACCAGGTGCAGAATGACAGGAAACAGTACCTGGTGTCTTCTCACCCAGGCCCAGATCAAGTAAATACCTCAGCCTGAGTTTTGGCACCAGGCAATTCCCAGACAGTTAGAAATATGCCCAGGATTTACGAACATGGGCCAAGCTCCTACTTGGAAGAAAACAGAGTCTGAGGGTAAGACTTTGAAGTTGTTCATGATTCTAAGTCCACACCTGATGTGACATTTACATAAATGGTTTCAGCCTCAGTTTTTGTGTTGTTTGAGTGTTCATTATGCCCTTCCTATCTCCTCAGGGCTGTCAACTCCTCGTCTATAAAGGACTCAGATTTTAAGGACAAAGTCACACCAGAAATGTCTATAATAATGTTTGTATTTATTCAAACATACATAAATGGGGCCGCATGCATGATATAATACATTCATACATAAATTTATATTTATTGGAGAAAGTTTGAAATATACAGAAAAGAATAAAGAGTACAAGAAATTGCTGTTTTATCATATAGATAAACATGGTCAATGCTTTAAGTATTTCCTTCCAGTCTTTTATTCATGGATAAAGAGGTAGCTAGCAGACAGACAGAAATTGTGGTAATGTTCTACATACATTTTGGTTCTGGGTTTTTCATTTAACATTGTTTATGATATTATGATATTCTTTATGATATTTAAAACTCTCTGTTAAGCTCATTTCCAATGCCTACAAATGCAGTAATTGTTAAGCTATAACCAAGCATTGAGCTCAAAGCTGTACAGGCCAACAAAAGCTGGTGCCCCAGTGGGGTCTTCAGTTCCAAACATCTGAGCCATTTGAGGTGTAACTGATGGCCTCTGTACAAATCTTTTCACCCCAGCATACCTGCGGAATAGGAGGGGCGTGGTGGAAGGTACATTCGCCCGTAGTTTAAATGGGATACCCAAGTAATCCAAGCGTCACCTCTACGCCAACTTTGAGAATGATGAGTGTAAAGTCTGTGCTGTTTTCTCCTCTTACCAACACAGCTACGAGAGAAGCAAGCCTACGTGGAGAAGGTGGAGAAGCTGCAGCAGGCGCTGACCCAGCTGCAGTCTGCATGTGAGAAGCGGGAGCAGATGGAGCGCAGGCTGCGGACCTGGCTGGAGAGGGAGCTGGATGCGCTGAGAGCCCAGCAGGTGCGGTCTGGGCGCAGGTGGCCGGGGTCAGACATGGTCATTCAGCAGACATGGGCCAGGCACTGTGGTCTGCAGAGGATATAGAGGGAAACAGGAACTCCTGTCCTCAGTTAACTCCACAGTGACCAGTGCAGGAGTTGGGCCGTCCACTTGCTGTGGAGTGATAGATGTCCTCACAGATAGAAAGCAGTCACTGAGTTGGGGCAGTAGATAGGGGAGTGTGGCTTTAGACACTCAACAGAGGAGGCCATTTGAGCTGGATTTTGAAAGGTGTGTTTCTTGTACAGCCAGGAGCAAGAATGTCAGAGGAGGAGGGCTGTGTGACAGCACGGCAAGCCTAGGGTTGTGGCGCAGCCAGACAGGGGAGGATGCCAAGGAGGAGGCCAGTGAGGAGGCAAAGGCCAGTTTGTGGAGGGCCTTTGATAATGCTGGGAGATAGGGCTTTTTCCTGTAGTCTACAGAGCACAGCAGCTGGGAGGCTTTTAAGCTGGAGAGAAGTATGGTGTAAGGCAGGGGTCCTCAAACTTTTTAAACAGGGGGCCAGTTCACTGTCCCTCAGACCATTGGAGGGCTGGACTGCAGGCCCTGGGACGAGTCAGCTGCTGAGCAGGACAGGCAGCGGCGGCAGAAACACCCGGCAGGCTGGATAAATGTCCTAGGCAGGCCGCAGTTTGAGGATGCCTGGTAAGGGATGGGAAAGAATCCACTGGTGGTGTCAGAGCACTGTGGGAGGGTGGATATTAAAGTCAGAGACCGGACTGAGACTTCAGTGCACTCTCGGGTGCTCTGACCCTGGGAACCCATGAAGTACTGGAGGCAAGAGCTAAAAGGGGGTGAAATTAGCAGGGCATGATGATCAGTGGGTTTCAGAGGTAAAGGAGAGGAAGGTGTTCAGGACCATCCCTGGGGAATAATATTGGTCATGAGCTCCCATCTCTCTGCCTTTCTTTCTCTGCTGGTAATGTAACTTAGCTGTGAGTGCAGAGTAAAGCACCCTCTCCCAGGAGCATGTGTGCCACAGCAAGCAGGGGGAAGACTGGCCAAAGGCTCCTGGCTCCAGACAGCCTGTCTGTCATCAGCCAGCGTGATGGGCAGAGCCCTTTCTGCAGCTGATGAAAGATGTGCTCTAAATTAGGATACCAGGGAAATGCTAGGCAGGGCTCCCAGGAATTTTCTCCTGGATAGGGCATAGTGGTTGTGGGTGAAACACTTGAAAACACTTGAAGGCATGCACAGAGGCCAGCTCAGCCCTCTCACAGGGCAGGCCCATGCAGTCCGCTGTGGGTGTGTGCACTTGGCTGGGGAAGGAGGTATTAGTGCAATAGCCCAGAAAACCAAGAAACCCACCCCAGCCTCCCACCATCTGGGCTTACTTGATAGATCATAAGGAAGGGTGGGTCTGTCTCTGGGCTTCTGATACCCCATACTTACAACCTGTGCCTCGTAAACTGGCACTGGAGTTACACCCTTCAGCTGTTCTCTGTCACTCGGTTCTTGAGATCTTAGCTTTCCCAGGTTTTGGGCAGGGCTTCCTGGGTCCAGGTACAGTGCTGGTAAATGGTAGACACTTAACAAGTCTTTGGCTGATCAGATGGACACATCTCGATTCTTAGAGCAAAAAGAACGTTCTTTTCCAGTTAATAGGCCACCCGCAGCCTGCAGGTAGATTACTTCTTCTTGCCTCATCCGTTTTGAGAGCTGTGAAACCAGACTCAACTCCATCACCCATTTTGCAGAATATCAAGAAGAAGAAATGTGAATTTAGAATTATTGGGAAAATGTTTTAATTGCCATAGAGGACAGTTCCCTGTACGTACACTCAAACCCGTGCACACTCACCCACATTTTTTCCTTAGACTGGCGAAAACAACCTTCTTGCTGTGTATGAAGGCTGCTGACAAATGACATGTTTGTGCACCACTGGAGGACAGAAATTTCAGAATTGGGGCTCTCTGGGGAAATTACTCTGCTTGCATTTTGGATTTGTCTTTGGAAGCTGATAGCAGACCCAGCTGTGTGTGGCTCACATGAGACTGAAGAGAGGGGAACAGTCTCTAGAGTTAAACAGAACTGTGCTGCGTAGCCTCTCCTTAAAAATAGTATGACACTTTGGGGTTTTTTCAACATGAGAAAAATGAGAATATTAATCCATCTCCTGCTATATGAAGTACGTGAAGGCATTTTCCTGTTGCTATATGTACTCATCAAAAAGATAAATACCAAAAAAAAAGAAAAAAATCCCAAGGATAAATAGGTTGAGTAACCCATATCTGAAATGCTTGAGACAAGATGTGTTTGGATTTCAGTTTTTGTATTTGGGACCCTCAACCTGTAATTTTTTTCTTTAATACTTGCTTATTTTAATTGTACCAATGAGCATGTATGATCTTATAATCAGAAAAGGAAAACATGTTATTACCAAAAAATGTGCCCCCAAATCTTGAGTTTTTACTACCTCCATGTGACAGCTATCGTAAAGGATAAAGTCTGGTCAGACTGGCGCCTGGAGCCCTTGGGCTGCTATGGAAGGCAGCTCTGCCTGCCTCACCAAGGATGACTGGGAGTTGACTCTAGAACAGAGTCACCTGAGGGACCCGGCCTCTCGGGGAAGGGTGGCCAGGTCCTCTCTGACGCCTCCTCATTCGCCCTCCAGCAGCTCGTGTGTCTACCTGTCCCTTCTTGGCACAGACGTGGGCAGCCTCGGGAGAGGCTTTCACACACCACGCCCTACCCTCCTCCTGTGCTCCGGTGTCAAAGAGGCATTTCTCTGACCTCTTTAGAAAGGACGCTGAGGTCACACTGTCACAAAGCCCCTGGTCATCTCTACCCTCAACAAAACAGTAAGACCAACCACTCTGCCCCATCGCTTCCGTAGGGTATTATTCTGAAGAGATTTGAAAGAGCAGCTAAGAGAACTTATTGAATCACCCCACACAAAGGCTCTGCCCCTGGACTGAGGCCAGACAAGCTGAGTTTCCCCATTTAGCCCCTCTAATAACAGAGTCCCTGGGTGAGGTGCTGTGGACCTGTCCGGAAGGAACCCTGGGATGAGGAGAGTGGCGTGGAGTCGTGTATGATTTAGAGCATGGGCTCTAGGGTTAGACCTTCCAGGCTCCTGCCTCCTCCTACTAGAAAAGCAGCTGCAGGTAAGTAATCTTTCTGAGCTTCCACTTGTCTATAAAGTGAGGCAGATAAATTATATTACTTTATACTTGTAACTGCAATCAAGAAGGTCTATACAAAGAGCTTATCAGATGCCTTGCACTTACCAATGGATTAAGAAAGAGTAGCTCTCTCTGCTGTTCTTATTCTTGTCATTTACCCACAGAGTCATTGGAAGGCTTAGTGCAGTGGTTCTCAACCTTCTTAATGCTGCGACCCTTTAATACAGTTCCTCATGTTGTGGTGACCCCCAACCATAAAATTATTTTCGTTGCTACTTCATAACTGTAATTTTGCTACTGTTATGAATTGTAATGTAAATATCTGATATGCAGGATATATTTTCATTGTTAAAAAGGGGTCACGACCCACAGGTTGAGAACCACTGGCTTAGGGCATTCTTGGTAGCCACTCCCAAATTCTTCCCTTACCCCAACTATTCCAGACCCACTGGGAAAAAAATGTTGAAAGAAGTGTGCTGATAAGGAGGGGGTGCGGAAAAAGAAAGGTCAGGACCAGAGAAGTTAGCAGAAAAGAGAAGCTCTCAGTGAATAATTCCTGTTATGACAAACTCTCCAAATAATCTCTTCCCTGGGAGGTGAAATAGAACTTCAGCATCATAGAAACTGAGAGAGAAGTGAAAGCAATAAGGATAAAGAGGGAGGAGAATTTACATTAAGAGCTCACAAGTTCCTCTTCTTTCAAAGAGCACAAAGGAATTTTCATGTCTGTCTTCCACAGTAGTTCTATAACATAGAAAAGAGAAGGTTCTTGAAAAGAAACAGGAGGGACAGGGAAGTTTAAGGGCTAGCAACGTAGCTAAGTAGGACATTTCTCCCAGGCGAACACACCGGGGGCAGACGTTTCATCTGGGTTGCTCACTGCTGCATCCTTGGCACATGGTTCATGCTTGGTAAATACTGGGCGACCCGCTAGCTGAGGGGTGGCAGGAGCTGGCCTACTTGCCCCCAATCTGTTTTATCTGGCTAGCACACTTCCCTTCATGCTGTCTCTGTACCCTTGAACACTGACATTCATGCATTTGTTTAAATAATGCTGAATGACCTGAATTGGGAGGGGGGCTGTGAAGAGTTGTCATGATCTCATTTGAGGTCAAGAAGATTCTGTAAAAATGAGCCAGCTGAGATGGTAACAGAAGGGATTTAGATAGAAACTGACAGGCATAGATGGCAGCTTAGTGAGGCCGTGGGAGCTTTTTCTTGGAAAGTTTCTAAAAATAGGGGAGCTTCTCATCTCAGTGGACAGGTTCATTTGTCCTCCTGCTTCAGCCTGGGTGCCTGGCCAGATGGGGTCATTGGCTTCCTGAATAGGTCAGGTGAGGACAGGGATGTGCTTGACACTATTCTTATTTAAATGTTGGTCACTGGCAAGCTTCCACTTCCTAGAATAATTTATATTTGTACCCTTAAAAAATTGAATAGAAACATATGGTTTATAAAAGGCCCGCTGTTCTCTTCTCTCTGGTAGATTAGATTCCACTGGTGTAGCTCAGATGCCCAACTGTTGTTCTGGGTAATTCCTCAATCCTTTTCTTAATCTAGGGCTTTATGTGGTTCTGGGTATAGTGCTGACATACTTGTCATCTTCCACCCAGCTCTGCATTTTAAATTTGCAATCACTGGAAAACATGTGGGGATGTGTGTTTAAGGAGTATAGAATAGCTGGGATGAAGACATCCCCCCCCCCCAGGTGTGTAGGAGCCAGGCCTCAGCCCTGATGCCCCAGCATGACCCATCTCTGCGGCTGGTCTGCAGTCAGAATCTCCTCAAAACTCCACTGTGCTCTACACTGAGCTCTCTTAGAGGAAGTAGCGTTCCTGAGTTAAAGGGAAGTGTGGAATAGCCTCAGTTTGTGAGCCGTCCAGCTAACAACTGCATTTTGTTTTTGTTTTTTTTTTTCCCGTTACTGATGAACAGGGTAAAAGAAATGAACTTGTCTTGTGTTAGAGGTCTTCTCCTTTCATAGGCATTATTAAATTTGACTTTCCTTCTTGGCCAGAGTGGGGTGTGTGTTAATACCAACTTTCCAAGCCTCCCAGCTGGGGAACATACAAGTCAAGACATGTCCCACTTCTTTTGCCCCTATTCTTAACCCCCAGTATCAGGGGAAAGAACTAGAATCATATCCCTGAATTCTGGAGACAGTGTCCCAGATCAGGAACCAAGGCTTAATTCCTGTTCTTGCTTTTATTGTAAATTTACTGCAAGACATTGGACAAGCCACTTGTCATGCAAACACCTTGAGCCCTAGAGTGAGGCAGACCCGGGTTGGGACCCCGACCCTACTGCTGGTGAGCTGACAGACATCGACCCGTTAATTTAACCTCTCAAGAACTTAGTTTCTCATCTGTGAAAGTGTTTCTCAGAGCTCCGTGAGAATTAAATGTGATAGAGGAATTTGGAGGTGAGGTAGTATGGCATTAGCACCTCTGAGTTTAGGCTGCCCACCTTGCAGAGAGGGAGCAAGGGTATGAGGATGGTGTGTGAGTGGCTCGGGATCTGGGGAGCCGTGCGACAGGGTGGGTGTGGTTCTGAGCATCAAAATGCTACTACATGGTGTTCCTGCTCCCCTAGAAACATGGAAATGGCCAGGCAGCCAGCATGCCAGAGTACAATGCCCCGGCCCTCATGGAGCTGGTGAGGGAGAAGGAGGAGCGGATCCTGGCTCTGGAGGCCGACATGACCAAGTGGGAGCAGAAGTATCTGGAGGAAAGCACCATTCGCCACTTCGCCATGAACGCCGCGGCCACCGCTGCTGCCGAGAGGTGAGACTAGCTAGCGGGCCCTGCTGGTCACAAAGGCATAGTTGAAAAAGGAATCAAAGCAAAACAAACAAGCTGTCCAGGGAGATCCAGAGGCTCATCAGGGAGTAAGGTCAGCTAAAAATGATTTCTAAGTGGCTAGTCAGAGAGCAAGATGGGCGGCATTTCTGGAGGGAATCCGCAATATGCACCTTCCCTTTGGTTCCACAATTCTACTTCTAGACATTTACCTTAAGGAAATCATTTAGGTGCCTGAAGACTTATGTTTGAGGATGCTTGTCCGGATGTTGTTGGAAATACTAATACACTTAAAACAGCCCAGAGTCCAACAAAAGAAATCCAACTTAAAGCACGTCTGTTCGGTGGAATGCTGTGTGACCGCTAAGATGCTGTTGTGAACGTTTTTACCTCTTTTTTGCTTTCTTTTCATAGGTGCACAGCTTTATTCTTCCTTTAAAAATTAGTCCAGAATGCGCAATAATTCACAAAAGTAACTCACAGATATCCTATTAAGATATATTGTCTGAATGAGCAAGGTCATTTCCTCTTGACCTTTGGTTGCTGGGTCTCAGCTGAGATGCAAAATTTAGGGTCAGATAGGATTCTCATATTCCAAAGGGGCAAAGAGAAAACTAGACTTCTTAAAAAATAAGGGCTATAGCTATACCATTTAGAGGATGGTAGGACGTGACCCAAGCAAGGGGAGAACGAGCCAGGGTTCCCCCAGTTCTGTAGCAGTTCCACTTGGCCTTGAGAAAGCAGCAGCACTGTGCAGGCTCCTGCACCCAGGGAGACCTGCAGACCGTGTGGAAGGTGATCATTTTGGAATCATTTTCTAATGCTCATTTATTGTTTGTATGTGTCTCTGCTGTGAGGGGGAGCAGCTACAGTCACCATCTGAGTGAGACTTGGGGAGTGGGAATAGATGCCTGAGGCAAATGTCTTATGGTGAGGCTCCAGGCTGCAGAGTGAGGGCTGGAGGGAAGTTGCAGCCTCAGTTCAGCCCTGTACAGTATGGAGGGTACTGGGGAAGCCCTTTGGAACGTTTGTGGGTTGATATGTACATCATTGAAATGTTTTTATTTTCAGCCTTTTGTTTTCTAAGCCAGAGTACCTCTCCATCCTGGGGAGGAGAACATCATAAAGTTACAGAGATAGGCCTTCTTTGTCAGATGACTGTCCGTGACTGCCCTGGGCGTGTCCTTTCTCGCGTGTGATTTTAATGAAAAGGACACTGCTTAGGAGGCACAACAACCATATCCAAGGTTCTTCTGTCTGTTGCTGACTGGGGGCTGTGACCTGGGACAAACCCTTCTGAGTGTCACAGCACATATGAAATGGAAATGATACTTCTTGACGGGTGAAGAGTGGGGACCCCGGCCACGTGCCTCTCACTGAGGACACTAAAGCCCCACCAGCTGTGTCAATCTGTCACATTGGTGGGATGACAAAGGGGCCTGCGTGTGTCTTTGCCATGTCATCTTCTGTTGGTTTATTAGATTATATGTCTGTTTGGGATCCCAGCCCCTGTGGGGATGAATAGGGGATGAATAGGGCTGGTGTCAGTTTAGAATAGGGGGATGAGAAGCTCTGCAGCATAGCCCCTGTGGTGGGCACAGGAGTGGGTGGGCTGAGTAGAAGCAGGCAGACACCAGAGTCACCTACCTGCGTGATTCTAGGCCCAGCCTGTCCTTCATCCTTCATGCAAGGGGAATAGCACGTTCCCCAGAGAACAGAGTTTGTGGGATTTAACCCGGTCCTGCAGTCCCTCTCCGCCATCCTTTCCTCTCCTCGCTGCTTTGATTACACATACATTTTTTGAGCATCTAATGATTTTATGAGAAATCAGCCTTCCCTCTACCCTTCCCACAGTCTGGAGATGAGGGAGAAATAGTTTCAGAGAAGCTCAGATGTTTAGTTCCAATCTAAAGTTCTTTTCAGAGAAAACCTGTATAATTTCAGTATTGCCTTTGTGTTGATAGTAAGAGAAGAAAAATGGGGAAATGAAGCATTTTTGAGAAAGGTTGAAATTCCGAGCTCTTACTGTCTAGATATTATAATGGCTACAGATGAACTGGCAAAAATGACTATTTCAGCCATGAGTTTTGTGACTTTATTGCCACAGATACAAACTTCACATGTATAAGCAATGAGTTTTAAACAAAGAAAATAATTTTTGCATAGTGGTTTTGCCATCTTTATGCAACTTAATGCCATTGATCAGAGCTTCAGAGATTGAGCTTATTTTTTATGTGTGAGGAAGATTTTAAAACTCTGTACACATTTCAAAGCAGCATAATTTTTTCAAATCTGTATGTTTGCTAAGTTGTTTTCATCTAATTGTGTATAATTTCCTTACTTGGCAATAGAAATATGAATTTTTAAGTTTGTCTCCAGCTCCTTGTGAGTTTACCAATAGTAAATTGGTTGAAAATGTTTCTAGCCTCTAATTACTGTATTAATGATTTTTGTGCCCCAGAGGGTGGATTTATAATTTTATAAATATGTTGAAAGCATTTTGCTTCTTTCTACACCATTTTTTGATACATCTTCAGCCACAGTTTGCACTTTTTTGTGCTATGCCCTCTTGTTCATTTATTTTATCTTTGTGAATCTTTATAACAATATATGAAACTTCCAGGAGTGTAGAGTGATGGTTAAGGGCATGGACTTTAAAGTCATAAATACCTAGTTTTGAATCCATTTCCTCCTTTCACTAACTGGATGTTTGACTATGTCGCCTCAGTCTGGTGTCTCGTCTGTAAGCTGAGGATGACACCTAGTACAGGAGTTGTGAGAAGCCAATGTGTTCTCCCCAACCCCTGCGTGAAATAAGTGTCCTCTGAGCCATAGCTCTTCTCTTTTGCTCCTAGGGGATGTCCCAGAAAAGAGCTTTAAGGTTTTGAGTATGATCATGGCGCTGGAACATGAAGTTAAAGAGATGGGAAATGTTTGGCTCTATCATGTCTTACTAATTTAGCACTCATGTAATCAGAGGCATTGTTGTCCTCTCCAACTTGAGATACACTTACCTCACTCAGGTGGCACAGTTATTGTTACTGATCACTGTGAGTTAGGAGTAACTAAATTGACATAACCAAAGGCAGGGATGATTTTCTTCCTCCATTTGCTTCCGTGCAGACAGCGGCTTGCAGGTCGGCTGCTCTTTAATCTACCTCTGTCTGTCCCTCCCCTCGCTGCGCCCAGCTGCACTGCACCCGTCCAGGATGGTGTGTCTGTCATCTCCTTTTTTCTACCCTCAGACTGAGCATGTTTGTTGCACTGAACTAACCTGAGTCCTAGGCAGGGGCCCATTAAACAAGATGGAGGCAGGATACAAACGTGAAGGAAGACGTGAGCCCCACCATCAGGGAGGACACCTCACTTTCAAGTACTGACCCCCACTGCACTGTGAGATCCTGAGATAGGTGCTTTAGGGGTGACAAATAGAAGTAAAACTTTAACTATGATTAGAGAAATGAGACAGGATAAATATGAAAAGTGCAAGCACAGACGTTCACAGTAACAGCACCTGAATGTCAGTAGATCAGATCTGGAGCACCCGACTTACACTCACAGCACGCCACAGAGCCTAGGACGGGGTGCTGTCGGTAGGACCCAACTTACACTCACAGCCACCACAGAGCCTAAGACAGGGTGTTGTCGGTAGGACCCGACTTACACTCACAGCTGCCACAGAGCCTAAGACAGGGTGTTGTCGGTAGGACCTGACTTACACTCACAGCCGCCACAGAGCCTAAGACGGGGTGTTGTCGGTAGGACCCGACTTACACTCACAGCCCGCCACAGAGCCTGAGACAGGGTGCTGTCGGTAGGACCCGACTTACACTCACAGCCACCACAGAGCCTGAGACGGGGTGCTGTCGGTAGGACCCGACTTACACTCACAGCACGCCACAGAGCCTGAGAC